TTACGCTTTAAACTGAAACACAATAAGACAATTAGGCACTCCTCATTTTAAGAGTCTGTTTTACAATCGAAAATTAATGTTCTGATTAATCTACTTCAAACTTAACCGTCGAGTCTTATTGTTGAGTAAACTGGTAGATCGCGTTTCACGCAAATAAAGTTAACGAAAGTATTTAACATCCAAGTAGTTTATTCAGAGTTTAGAGTATACTTTGCTGATTAAACTTTTATTTGTGCATTTCGAAACTGAACGTAATAATCTTTCGTTTATAATAAATAATATTAATCACCAAATTATACTGGCGATATCTACCTACTTATAAGTAAACGGTGCGTTATTTATGTATATAGGTTATTTGTATATAGCATATTTACTTATTTATTTAAGAGGTGAATGTTTCTATGTTTGACAGCACTGTCTGACATTTGGTCTATTTATTACCACCTAAAATTAGGTTGTATCGCCGTTACCGCCCACATAATAGACCGAATCCACCCACTTCTAAGTGTAGTCTCATTTAGTATGCATACTTATATTGAATTAAAAGCATGAAAGTCTTGGAAAGACGCACGACACCATTTGGGTTTTTAACACAATGGTATATGCTTAGTAATCATATACGAGTACTTACCAAAATTTTATTGAAGTCCGTCCAAACAGACATGACAATTCATGTTATGTCGCTACAAATAGAGGGATAAATAAACATTATATTTAAAAACTAGCGATCCGACCCAGCTTCGCAGGAGTAGACAGAATTTTCGAAAATCAATACATATAATAAAAAAGTTTCAGCCAGTTTAACTGATCCGTTATTTTATAGCATTTTATATGCGATTCTTCAGGTTGATTAAACTTTTTTATTTATAAATCTGTTAGAATCTATTACATATTGTGTTGCTTATTTTGAGCTTCCATAGCCATTTTTTTAAATAATTGTCTTTATAGGTTTATAGACCCATATCAATTTATAGTAGGTACCATATTCATAGTAAGCTTTTGATACCTTCCACTTTATCACCTAAATATACCAGTCAGGTAGATGCCAGTGTCATTAGCATGAAACAAATTTCTATACCATGTTTTTTTTTTAAATAAATAAAATTTAAATAAATAAATACTTATAGACTTTAAACAAACAAATAATTTACCCGATCATATAACGGTCAGTTGCTGTCTAACAGATTGATTGAACGTTGCGATATTTTACTAGTATTTTTTATAGAGTTTCTTGATATTTTGAACAGGACTTGGTTACTCTTTCATTGACTATAGAATTACATTTGATGTATTAATAAACCAAACTTACATCTACTAAATTAACACGTCCAATTTTCTGGTTTCCTATTCGAAAATTCCTACTGGTCATTATTAAAGCATTGTCTGCACGTTGCGTCGAGATTCCAGTTCTCTGAAATTTTCTGAAATGTTCATCAGATTTTCCCTTTGTTCTCATTTCGAAATCCATTTACCCTTAACTGCTAATTTCCAATCCAATGGTAGACTAATTAAATGGATCCGATTCAGTGAACCAATTCCGAGTCCGAGGAGGAAAGAGTATTTCTTTTAAAAATTAAATTGCTCACAGTACCCCAGCTTCATTGTTCCCATTGATAAGAATATGTGATTGGATGTTCTGAAACGTTAACATTTTCTTTTTTCGCCTCCGTTTACATTTTTTATTCATGGTCTCTTTATATACCGTCTTTTATATAGATTTTAATAACATATTCATTATTTATTTAATATTTAAATATCACAGAGAAATTTTCTGCATATTATCTACCTACATATTTATGCTAGCTGTACCTGGCACATTATTTACTACAATTCGTTGATGTTTCGTCAGAAACTAACTTCCTAGGAAATTGGCTTATACGTCATCTGTATATTTAAATTGATTTCTATTCTTAGCTCAGTTGATTCTTCGGTCAGCATATTTTTATAATCCTAATTATTGTTTTCCTATTAGATAGTTCGCCATGTAGGTCCTGGAATAAAACGGGTCACCTCTACCCTTTCCGTGGGTGTTGTAAGAAGCGACTAAAGGAGGGCGAGGGATAGGCAGCAGCGTCCCTATTAAAACATCTCTAAAGCCTGAGTGCGGTTGCCAATCTACCTGCAAGCATGGCAATTGCTGACAAGATCCTTCAAGGGGGAGATTTATGTTCAGTAGTGGAAAATTAAAAGCTGTTATGATGATGATCAGATGATATTCATATACTGTCTAATAATATTTTCAATAAATCGAATGTCCCATGGTGCGTATCAAATAGTAATAACGGTACACCCAACTATATCAGTGTACTAAACTCTACAAAAAACCATATTGGCGGCTTCAATATAGCCTATGGCTCGGCTCAATTGCACATAAACCGCAAATCGTCGTCACATTAACAGAAACTACAATTTAGTGGCGAAGCAGTTGATTTGGAACTCATTTTTTTTACTACGCGAAAACAATATTGAATTTCTAAAAACATGCACTTCACAAAGGTGTCATTGGTTCAATGTATATGTTAATTTAATTTACGCTATCAGATATGGCCAGTACAGTTAGTGTTGTAATCTTGCAATGGAATTGTTTATTTATATATGAAATATTAAAAACGCAGTACTTCATTAATTTAAGATATAGCTTTGTAAAAATACAAGTTACCTCAATACTTGCAGAATAATTATGCGACGCGGGAGCGAACTGAAAAAGAAAAACAAACAGTATTATTAAAACATTGTGCGTCTTATACACAAATAAAATACAAATCGAGAGCCTCTTCGAGTCATTTAAAAATTGTTTCTCGCTAATAATATCGAACTAAAGCGCCTCCAGTTGCTGATTGGAGGCTAATTCTCTTTTCTTTAGAGATAATCTCGAAATAGAGATAGTGATTCGAATCCTTTCTCTACTATAAAATCTCGATATTCAAAGTCATTTTCTCGAATTACGTATTCTCAACACAAATCGAGATATAATTCAAAACAATCTCGAGTGTAAGAGTAAAATGTTGCCATTTTTTAGATATAATGATCCCATTACGCGTTGCAACGTGAAATTCGTTTTACGAACTTTCGTTTAAATTCTCGGCTATTTTATAAACTATAAAATGACTTAGAGTTTAATACGTAGTAAAAAAATCTTGACTTTATAAGTATTGTACATATTTTCTATAGGTATATATTCAATTTTTATCAATGATTAATAAGTTATTAATTTCGTCACACAGCAAAATAAATATTTAGTTTTAATATTTCCTACAACAGAATTAGCTATTATACAGCTATTTGTAATGGAGGCACTTTGACAATCAACAATGACACTTCAGTTTAGTACTTGCAAATTTGTGTGCTTCCATGCATATCCTGATTTATCATTGTTAAAATAACAACGACATCAATGACAACAGCATTATAAACTCTAGATTCTGATTGAGTATCTCATTATCGTTACAGCAATAGCCAATTACAGCCTAACATCCGGTTTGCTGTTAAATCATGTACAATTTATTACAAACTAACTACATGCTCCGGCTTCTCACGGGTTTACTAAAGAAAATAATACCAAGTCTTCCCTTCATTTTCTTTAGTACAAATAAAAAAAAAATGAATTAGCCACAAAGTTGCAGTATTTCTGAAGTAACGCGCATTTAGTACAAATAATTAATAAAATTAAGTACCTAATATATATAAAGTTTATATATTTGGCAACCAATTTTTATTTATATAGATTTGATATAATTCCATTTATCATTTTGAATCGTATTCACAAAACAAACTTTCTGTCACGCTTATCATGTAATTAATATTGTTAGCATTTCTCATAAGAATTACTCTGTCCAAGATACCTTCTTTTCTTTCTTCGACTTCTACTTCTCATCTACAACCTTTGGGTCAATATTTCATAATGTTAAACATCTATTTCAGATATTATAATGAAAACACATTCGCTTGGACTCTAGGTACATTGATTTTCTTACCTAGACACAACACTTCGTGACCTTAGACACAACAAGAGACCATATCAAGGCTCTCTCATGCGTCTTGCTTTATATTTGGATTACCTTTCAAACCAATAAAAAAAATTAAAATATTTAAGATCCTTAATTATAATTTGAATGTTTAAGTTGACACGTTATCTATTTTTTTTTTGTAATTGTATAAATACATACTCGTATATTCAGTGATTACTTTTATATCATATATTATAGTATTCCTATTGGAACATAATTTAATCGAAAGACAGGAGATAAATGAAGCAATCATTCAGATAAACTAAAATCAGCCTGTTGGATAATGTAAATTTCATTAGCATATAAATAAACACACTAGAAAGAATCCGGTTTCGGCCGCATGGTACCAATATTCCTATGGTTAATTAAAAAAATCTTTTCTTTATGTATATTTATACTCTACTAGATATATCTCACGGCTTTACCCGTGGTCGTAATGTGATAAACTATAAACTTCCTCAAGAAATATGCTATAAAATGAAAAAAGCTTTATTGAAATTAGCAATACCAGAGATTGGCACATTCAAACAAACTCTTCTACTTTATAAAGCTAGTATAGATATGTGTGCTTGTTTGTAATCTCTGTGGTATTTAAAAAATATAGACACCGTATCAGCGTAACAATAGTACGTAATAACTTTAAAAGCTTGCAATTACTTAAAAAAATCGTTTATAATAGTTTGAAAATATTCGCAAAACAAATAACAAACATAGCAAAACACTGAACTTACGATAATCTTTTTATGACATTAGAAAACAGAACACACGTGGTATGTTTCTGAATACTACCATAGTTTCGAAATAGATAGATAAGATAAATGTGATAACACAAATCTCGTCCACCCGGTACCTTATTATGTTGATAATATAAACCTCAATCTCATTCATAGATTCGAAGATCGAGTAGGTAAAATGCACCCGGAAACATTCATCACTTGGGTAATGTGAACGAATCGATTTTAGATTGCAATAATTAACTTACTATGCATATAGGGTAATTAAATAAGTGTCAGCAAACAGTTAGTGTGGTGATCGTGCTTCAATTCGAGTATGGGAAGAAGAAACATCAGTATGATGCGTCTGGGCAGATGCGTCGCCTTCTTAGCTGCAGCGGCATTCTTACTGCCTTTCACAATACTGCTGATGGTGGCTGATCAGCAGTATCACCTAACCTACAATTCCAAGCGGGTCTTCTATCAAGAGGTAAGTGGATTTCAATCGTCTATAATATTGTACTGTTATCGGAGAATACTGGAGATATTATGGTATAATAATTAGCACATTTGTTACTAACATCATTAAAGCATGTATCCACGTACGAAATACGAATGTAAATTTAAAAGGCTCTTCGCATATTCTCGCAAAAAACAGTAATTATGCTTTCGTTAATTTCAAACATACTTATCTACAATCCACTTAATCTAAAATTACCTCTTAACTTTATACTGGGAAAATATTTACAAAGAATATTTTCATTCATTTCATAGCTATATTCTACTTAAAAATATGTTACTTATAAGTTTACATATTAATACGTAGAGTAGTAAAGAATATGCGAAGTGTTTTAATTCGTTTATATAAGAAAATAATACTTATCTTGCTATATAAACTAGTTTATGTATATAGTAAATGAAAGAACTTCAATTGAAAGAACATGTAAGATTTTTGACATTACTTAGCAAGTTGACTATTTTCAATATTTATTCAGTAATTGTCATATTTGAATCCAAATAAAATTGTATATGATCGTAATGTTGGAACTCTTATTTTAAATTTGCTAATTTTAATTGCGTCTTGAAATTTTTTATTTATCCCAAGAGAACAATATTAAATCTTGAAAATTGAAAGGAAAAATACCGATCCCGTACTATTAACATTGGCATCAAGTCATGTCAAGTGTTAATTATACATAAAATCTCAGTGGTACCTACTATCGACCACTAATATAGGAAGCAGTCGGGATTTCAAGTTAAATTTCTTCTTTTACAGAGCGACTTCTATAAAATAAACGGGACGTATTATGCGCCCACATTCGTGATAACCACACCTACATTATCACGGACTCAGGTAATGGACTTGAGATTGCCAGCTCCAAATACTCGTCCAACTTACACCAATCTGGTCTCAAACGTCTTGATTGAGACGAAAAGAAAGCTTTGATGAAATTTGAAAATGCAATTTAAATTTTAGTATGCAATTATCGAATTCGTCGCGTGATTTGAATAGATTGAAACAAGAAATAGATAAAAACAGATTGAATCTTTTCTTTAAACTTATCGTTTTATGTTCTTAAATAATTAAAACTCTCAGTATCTTACAGATCGTAAGTAATCGTAAGTTCATAAATAGTAATCAATTAAATATACAATACATAGATTTTTTTCCAACTTAGTTACTTACTCATGGCAAACAAGCTGACAGTCTACCTAATGGAATATGGTAAACGTCACCTATAGACATGAACATAACAGTGTATCAATGTCACTCATGATACCTCTCATGCGTTGCCATTCTTGAGGACTAAGGTGTTATGCCTCTGTATTCTATAATTTTATTGCCATACCCCACCCTTCAAACCGAAACATAGTCATGCAAACAACGACTTCACAGTGGTAACACGAATGGGACAGAGGTACCAAAGAAGACGATTTTTGTACAAAGTCTCCTTCTGGTAAATATTGTCCATATTTATATATAATTAAATTAAAAGGTTTATTGGCAGACAACATGATTTGTGTATATAAACACAAATTAATAAAAATATATAAATTTCTCTATTACAACCGCTATCACTAAAGAGTCATTCATCTTTATTACTCCAATAGACTTATATTAGTTTTTTATTTTCTATTTCATAGGTATTTAATGTGAAGTTGGGTATAAATCGAATCGAAGCTTAAACAATTGGTTGAAGTTGGAATGAGATATTCTGGAGCGTTTGTCACCGGACACCTAACAAATGCTAACACTTGCACCCCTAGTCTGTTTTTTATTACTTGACATATAACTTATACAGAATCTTTACATGTCTTTTTATTTAAAATGAATTTGAATAAAATTAATATCTCTACAACTTGTATGAAATAGTCGTTCAACATCAGATAACATTATGATCGAACGCGCTCAGTTTTATTACAAAAAAATAAGATTTGATAATAATTCATACTTACAATAATTTAATAATACTTAATATGTGAACATAAAAAATTTATTGTTCCGTAACGTAATTGTTTTTTGTTATTATTTATTAAGAGTAACAACAAAAACTAATAAATTAACGCAAATTATTATTACTAATGTGTATAAAAAGACATGCCAAGAACATTTAATGAGTATGCCAAGTAAAAAAAAAACGGATTATACGCTTAAATGGAATTAACCACTAAAAGGTCTGGGTAACGACTGTGCACGAAATGTAATTAATTAATGTTTATAGTTCATTATTAATCTTAAACACTCAATATATAGAGTTGATTAATGTATGAAAATGTAAAGCAATTTGTTATTGAAATATATGTTTAATATTATATTATATTACGACGTATTGATAAATGACAATAATTGCAAAATACCTATCTATTTATTTGTATGATTGTTTTATAAGTTGTTTGATCTTATTTCATTACAAATTATTATTCTCAAGACACATTTTAGTTTTGTTTTAATGTCTAAATAGTAAAAATATATGACAAAAACTAACAGACTTCAACTGTTTTAATTAAAAAGAAAAGTATTATTCATTCAATTTTGTTGAGTTCATATTATGTAGCTGTTAACTCTCCACTGCTGAACATTGGTCCCATAGGCATGGAGGGGTCATCAGTAGTAGCCACTCTTGACAGGCAGGTTTGCAAACCGCAGTTAGGTTTTGATGATGTATTAAAAGAGACGCTGTAGCCCATGCCTCGATCATTAAGTTCACACGGCAATGCAGATGGCTCGAGACCGTTCCTTATGACAGTCTATAGGGGAGGCCTATGTTCAGCAGTGGACAATACGGCTGATATAATATGACGACATTAATGATGAGGTAGGCAATAAGTTTAATACTAATCTTTTAGAAGAAACAATATAGAGATAATAAATATAAAATAATTTAATAAATGATAAGTTTTTTTTTAATTTTTAATATTATCTAACTTAGTACTACAATTCATATATTGTAAAATATTGATTAACATTATACACACGAAAATTACAGTTAAAAAGGCTTCTTTTTAAGTCAGTTAATTATAATTAGTATCTTTTTTATCAGTCTATAGAAAAATATTCAGTACGTGTAAGAAAAATCCATGTATGATGAATTATTTACCATGATCCGTTAGTTTTTTAAAGGATGATAGAACGGTGACCCCGCCTGCGCTAACGGTATACGCCGTCGGGGCTCCAGTGAGGGATGATAGGTGAGAATGAAAAGGCACGTTAGTTATAAATATACCTGGAATTCATTATGACGGTTTGCAAAGGAAGAAATGAAAGTCGACCTGACATAGGATATATTGCTAGCAATGGGACTGGCAGTTCGCATTACTAACAATCCCTTCCTCCCTGATCCGTAAGTTAGGTAAGTACCTACCTTTCACTTAGTAGAAATAACAATACTTGCTATATTAGCTAAAAGTATAATTTCTAAAGTTAACAAAATTAAACTTGATAGCATAATAAAAGGTACAATTATGTTTCATACTAATTGCTGTGCAATTGTTTTGTTTGTACAACGCATGGTGCCATAATGATGCTCTGTTATTTAGAGGTAATGTCTTTTTTGTTTGTTAATAATTTGTTTTTTTGAGTCATATGGACGACTGATAGAATTCGAAAAGAGGCTTCGAAAAGAGGCCCAGAACTAATGGCTGATATAGCCCAAAGAATGTATACTGTAGTGACTATAAGTTAGCCAGAACGTAAGTCGGCAACCCGAGGATAAAATGTTCTCCAGTGTTAACCTTGTACAGGTAAATGCGAGCACGCTTGGGAGGTATCATGAGTGAAACAGTATACTCTGTTATGTCCATGGTACTGCTCATGTCTATAGGCGACGGTTACCACTTCCCATCAGGTGGGCCGTCAGCTTGTTTGCCATTCTAAATAGTAAAAAAAAAAATGCAGTGTAGGACAATCTCCCCACTAGATGAAGCGACTATCTCAAAAGAATAATTATAGAAATCAGTGGATGTAAGTTATAAAAAAAATGATTGCTTGTCGAAAAAATGTACAATTCATTCTGAAAAGGCTTTACTACATTAGATTTCAAAACTTTTAATCCAAAATAATAGAAAGTACTAGAAAGTAAGACCAGATTTGATATTATATATTTATTTAATTCTCTTTATACTCGAAGTATAATGTTATAATTAAGTGTTTAAAAATCATCAATGACATTATTTATACCTAAACACTGGTAGTCAGTAATATATATATATATATATATATATATATATATATATATATATATATATATATATATATATATATATAATAGTAATTAATAATTATGTTATTATTATTTACTGATTTACTGCAATAGGCGCTAAATAAGTACTTAATTAATAATTTATCCCGATGCTGGATTTGCATTTTACAGTAGATTTTAGAAGGCTCTCCCTTATCCACTCTTATCCATGTCGGGGGGATGGGATTCTTAGTAATGAGGTCTAACAGCTCTATTGTTAGCAATACATATGATCAGGTTCTACGTGTAGTTAAATTCGTCACATCTAGCCAACTGACCTGTTTCATTTTCCCTTACCATGTGCACAATCTGGTGCCCTATCGGCATATGTCGATAGCGTGGGTGACGTTACTATTAAATTTCCATCATTAAAAAACAATACTCATACCAACATAAATAGATAAAAGAAAATAGATACCTACCTAAAAGTGTCTGCCTCTTCTCTTTGTTTAATTTATAAATTTTATACTTATTTTATACTTTATAAAAATAAATACTTTATTCCAGTCTGGACAATTGAGAAAATAATCACTACGTTCTTTTGTTGTTTTGCTGTTGGTGTTTTATCACTTATAAAAACGAATCGCTGCATTGTTTGAATCGGCACAGCACTTATACTAACGAAACTGGAATATTAATATATGCAACTGTCTAGAGGCATCAACAAGATAAAGTGAATTAATATTCATGAATTAGTATTCAGTGTTGTATAACAATTTATAATATGCGTCTATTCAAAATATTGATATCTATAAATATCATAAAGGGCCTAACTACTAGATAGTATAAAATTTTTAATGAACTGGTTGCATAGAATTCGTGTTTTTATTTGTTATCAGGGACGTGGATCACGTATAAAATAAACAAATAAAGTGTAGTGGCAGTAGCCGTGGACACTTCATTTATTTCTTTATTTCGAATATATATAATAATCGTGCTAGCACAAGAGTTAGAAATGTTAATAAAAAAACAATGTTTTTTAATTCAAATTTCTCTAGCCTCTTTTAGCTGCACTTTATATAAAGATAGCACAGACAATGAACGCTTTTATAATTTACTACAGCACATCATGGCACGGCACGTCATTGTTTTATCATTACGATATAATAGAAAAACAAAATGTATTATGCAGTTTTATGAAGGCGATTTTAATGTTCCATACACGGCCCTGAATGAAGAAGACTTCCGGATAAAGTCAAAACAATTGTCGGAAATGACAAACATAGCGTTCAGTAAATTCCTGATAATCCATTATATTACGCCTATAGAGTTCTTTATTATTATTTTACATTTTTCAAATTTATTTGAAAATGAAATTTTAAAGATTAACAAAAAAAGTATTCATACTTTTTAGTGGTGCATAATACTCATAATGTATACCTGTCTAGGTTTGTTGAAATAAGTGTATTAGCTAGGTCAAAATAAATAACAGGTTATGTTATTTCACATACCTATTTAATGATTAATTCCGATGAAAATTATCAATATTTAATTATCATAAGTTTACAGTGAAATAGTCCTAGTTAATTAGTTCCCAATTACTTAATAGAATATCTGTTTAATTTATATGGTATTTAGCTGATTACTTTCAAATGATTGAAACTTCAGTTGACTT